GCGCCAACAGGTCTAGACTATAAATGAAAAGATGCAGGTGCTTCAAACTGAAGAGACACGACCGGATCCTCCATTTATATAAACATCTGCAATACTGTGGGCCGAGGGAAGCCGTTTAATGCACAACCAAACAGCGGATAGTGGCCTACTGTGTTTAAATCTCACGTTTGTCGCTCATCCATCAAAATGAACCTGCAGATTCTATCCAGACTTGTAAAAACGAACAAATCTGTCACTATGTCAATAAGGTTCAAATAAATATCTGCTAATCAAAAGTCTCCTGCATCTCATTTGCACAAAACCTCTTTATTCAAATCGTCTCTTTTTATTAACATTATACTACCATCAAACTTTGCTTCGCCAACATCAGCTAGCTACTGCGTCACATCGCCCGGTGCATTTAAACACAAAAACTCCTAAACATTTTATAAAAGTGGTAAACCTCAGCGCTCTTACGGAATGACAGACTTGCAGACGGTGCATTAAAATAATCAAGAAAAATGACTACACTCAAAGGAAATTCACAAATGGTGCTAACAAGGTTGCTCGTTTTCCGAGCAAAATCATTTTAATGCAGACACGAGATTGGCGGAAAGGTGCCTGTGTACGAACGCGGAAGAACCAGCTGGAAAAATAAAATAATAAACAAAAAACACGAGCCTCCTATATAAGTTTTGTTCACGCGCTACTGTTGAGCTGTTCCGATAATATTCGGGGACCAAAGCGGACCCCTATTCTGTACTGAGAGCGGTTTACATTGGTCTATTATATCAGCACTTACTTTCAAAAGAAAAAAAAATAGTGGAAAGATGTAGAAAGAGAATAAAATAACACCATAAAATATCCCACATTACTGCCTATAAAAAAAAAGAAAAAAAAAGTAACATTTCACAAACAAAAATATACCCCCTTCATGTAATTTCAGTTTTCTTATTAATATAATTAAAACAATGTACAGTGCTTTATTATAATATATCTTTCAAGGGAATTTACGGAATATCATCTCTTATTGCAGCGAAATGATACTTAATCGTCCAGTTATTCAATGAAACCCAAAAAGAACATTTGGAAATGACTGGGAAGCCGTAGCTGGATGTGTTTTGTGTTTTTTTTCTCCAGGGATGGGTCACATATTTGTAATTAGTCCTGCTAGGGCTCTTCGCTACTGCTTTATGTTCAGTTCGTTCTCCAGTTCCATGAGCTTCCGGGATGCTTTCACTTTATTCGACACTTCCTTTCCCTGTGAGAAGAGCCTCTGGCGCTCCTTAAATGTCAGGAATATCGTCTCTTATTGCAGCTAAATGATACTTAATCGTCCAGTTATTCAATGAAACCCAAAAAGAACATTTGGAAATGACTGGGAAGCCATAGCTGGATGTGTTTTGTGTTTTTTTTCTCCAGGGATGGGTCACATATTTGTAATTAGTCCTGCTAGGGCTCTTCGCTACTGCTTTATGTTCAGTTCGTTCTCCAGTTCCATGAGCTTCCGGGATGCTTTCACTTTATTCGACACTTCCTTTCCCTGTGAGAAGAGCCTCTGGCGCTCCTTAAATGTCAGGCTTTCTGGAGCTCCTCCTACTGAGTTCTCCTGATCGGGGCCGCTGCAATTAAAAGCAATCATTTGTTAGCAATGCGGGATTTAAGAAAGAATTAACCCGTAAAATGAAAACGGAATCATTTACTCATCCTTGTATCATTCCAAACCTTATTTTCATGGAATACAAAAGGATAGAAAACTTCTCAAGTTTCATCCATTTCTGCATTTAAATATGGCATATCAAACCGTATCATGCCAGATTTGATGTTATGAAATCATAAAAAAAAAATTAATTAAAAAAAAATCAATGACAACAAAATCTGGCACAGAATTGAATTAAATGCAGACTTGACCACCAAATAATGACTTAAATATCAGACTTTTCCTTATTAAGAAAGAATTAACCCGAAAAATGAAAACGGAATCATTTACTCATCCTTGTATCATTCCAAACCTTATTTTCATAAAATACAAAAGGATAGAAAACTTCTCAAGTTTCATCCATTTCTGCATTTAAATATGGCATATCAAACCGTATCATGCCAGATTTGATGTTATGAAATCATAAAAAAAAAATAAATTAAAAAAAAATCAATGACAACAAAATCTGGCACAGAATTGAATTAAATGCAGACTTGACCACCAAATAATGACTTAAATATCAGACTTTTCCTTATACCATCAGAAGACTTGAAATATAGCACAAATAATCAAAATTGTCTACCTCTATGGTGTTTTGTGTCATTTTCGAAGCTTGACAGTCCCAGTCCCCATTATATACAAAAGATCTTCTGCTAAATATCATCTTTTGTGTTCCTCAGTTAAACAAATCAAGTTATGTACAGGTTTGGAACAACATGAAGGTCAGTAAATGATGACTGAAGTCTAATTTTTTTTAAGCGAACCATCCCTTTAACTTTGTCTACAAACGTGTAAACATAATTTAAAGCATTGATAAATGTCCTAAGTAGACGGGTTCTTCTATATGTTTGGGTGGTTCTTCTACCACACCCAAAGCTGTGAGCTCAGAGTTTGGTGAAGGGGTAATGATGTTTGTGGAGGCTTACTGAAAAACACCACAGCTTACAGTCCAACCCAAGCATGTCATCTTTAGTTTATATGCATCATATAAGCACAAACGTTTTGGGTTTCAAAACACATTCCAGGTGCATGAGTGCGTTCCTCACCCTTTTGTCCACTTCTCTCGCGGGTCTTTGTAAATCTCTCCTGATCCTAGTCCTGTTGTGTTTCCAGTGTATGAATTAAATCCTGTTTCAATATTGTCAAATGTAAAAACAATGTGAATTTCACAAGAAACATCAACAATGTCATTTCAAGAGCGATTAGCAAGATAATTGCAAAAGCTGCTGGGCTCATTATGGTGACCTGCATGTATATACAATTTAAATAAATACATATATTAAATAAAATTAAATTCAAAGTTATGTATATAAAACAGAGAAATTTACATATACACACACACACATATATACATATATATATATATATATATAAGCATGCATTTATTGAATACTATTATTATATTATATACTATAATACTATTATATATTATATAATTGGTAACTAAAATTATTGGTAACTTAATTTATAATAATAAAAAAAAAAAATTAAATGATATTATATAAATATTTCACTTTAACTTTAAACTGAAATTAAAAAAGATAAGTTAATTACTGAAATTAAAACTAAAATAGAAATAAAGCTAAACAGAATAAAAACAAAAAACTTTTTTCTTTAAATATAAAACTATTTTTTTCAACGAAGTGCTTTTGTCTTTTTAGTTAGTTATTAGTTTTTGTTGTTTTTAAATATTTCTGTTTAACTTTGTTATAATTTTAATTTGAGTAATTTTACTTCTCAACCTTATTTTCATTTACTTGCCAAGATAAGATTTAATTTTTTTTTAAAGTTTTAAGTCAAGTTAAAGTTTTTCATGTAATATTTGTGTGTGTGTGTGTGTGTATATATATATATAAGTTTTTCAAGTAATATTTAATTTCAGCTTTATTTCAATTACAATTTAATTTCAATTTGATTATCAATAGTTTTAGTTACTAATATGTTAATACCACATAAATGTTAATAATTTAATAACATACTTTAAATTTCTATATAAATATACAGTACATCATTTTTGTTGACTTATCCCCATAGCATAGACTTAATCTGTTCAACCGTGCAGTTCAACCACACCATTGGCCCAGCAACTTCTGTTTTCAACGTCACTCCACAGACCAGAAGCTGAACAGCAAGAAGAAAGCTGGTTTAGTTAGTGTTAAAGCATTCCAAAGCACACTTGACACGAGGTCTGTGGATCACAGGTCAGAGGTGGAGGTCAAGCACCAGCCGTTTCTAAACTTGTCTCGTGTGTCTGTAAGCGAGACGCTCCCCAACTCTGCACAGCTGGCCTGTACAACGACCCCCACCGCTGACCTACCGTAGGCATCGTCTGTGAGGCTCACGTGTCCTTGTGTCTGTCAGGGCGAAGGGACGGTCCGCACTGAACCAGAGAATGGCAGTTTGATTCTAACCAATGGGGTGCAAGAGCACCGCCGCAATCCAAATGCATGTTGACGGTTTCATTGATTGACTGATAATGGAATGAGTTTGGGCCGGAGGGAGAAAGACAAACACATTGACTTGTGAACCAAAAAAAACCTTCTCCACTGGCGACGACCAAGTACTTCAAGAGCAAAACAGGGCAGCTGGTGGTTTAGAAAGAAAGAAAAGGCTCATTTAGAAGCAAAGGCTTTTGTTTCTGAGGCCAAATGTGTTTCATACTGTGGTTTTGAATACAATACAAAATACGAAGCAATGGTCTATATTTGTTTGTATGTTTGAATCAAGCTGTTCAGTTTGTATTCATAAAACCTGGAAGAGTATGACTGATGACTCCCTCGGGAACATTTAAGGGTTTTTAATGGTGGTTTTTTATTTCTGAGCAAACTAAGATCCGTGGTTCACATTACTTACAGACATTTTACGATCAAAATGTCCGCAGTCGGATCTCAAAAATAAATGTTGAAACCTTTGTTTGCTTTATAATTTTAAGTTTTGACATAAGCACTACAAGGATTTGCCAAGCACGTAAACTCATATTTTTATTGCAGTTATAATCCTGTGTACACAGAAAAATGTGCAAAAATTGTACCTTTATGGGTACAACAGCTTGTTGCTGTTTTTTTTTCTTTTCAATTTGCTGAAATTGAAATTTGTGTTTTGAAAGTAGTTTATTAATGTATAACACTAGTTACATACAAAGTAATATATTTAAGTATTTAATTTCAGTATGTTTTATCATCAATTAACCTGTATCCTTTAGGAAATTAATTGTACCTTTGAAAAAGAATGCAATAAATACATTTTTAATCATCATATTATATATATTAACCATTTAGGGGTAAATTAGTAAATAACTGCCCTAGTGACAAGCTCTAGCACCCCTAAAGGAACAAAAGGTCAATTTTTACTTTTTTTCCCTGAGATGGTATGTCTCCATTTGAGGCATGATTATGTATACATTTTGTCAAATAAAATAAAATAAAATAAAGAAGAATTTTTTTAAAGTTATGTTGACCAAACACCTTATTTTACTCTACATTTTTTTTTTTAGAAATAATTAATTAAAAATTAAAATAACTTTAATTAAAAAATGCTTTCTAAAAACCCATAAAAAATTCCCATGGGAACTCATGGCACATTAGCCTACAAACTAATGCCATGGCTGAACAGACTTTACAGTAGTATATGGCAGTGCAATTTATTTTTTACTTTCCTTAAAGTAACTTTTGTATTTATTTAACAATAAAGCAGAAAATGAACATTAAAGACTGAAAGTCCACAGCTTGTGATCCTTTTTGCTCAGAGACTTGGTGGTTCCAGCAGGTCGATGCACCTTCTGAGAAGGTGATGGGAGGGGCTGTGGAATCCCATGATTCCATGCAGTCCAATGTGAGAGGAAGCAGGGGAGGGTGGGTGGAGCCAAGCAAATGATGATGCCAAACACACATATAAAGACAAACCAAAGAGCAAGACAGCAGACAGACAGAAGATAAGAGGGAGAACTACAACGCAGCTGAAACCAAGCAAAATCAATAATGTCAATGCTAAAGCTCTGTTCCATAACCTAGTGAGTTGCCTTTTAAGGCGGCATATTAAGTGAGACGGAAACTCAAAAGGGACTGGTTTGAGGTGCTACACAGGCAGCAACTCAAAGATAGCATGCTATTCTAACAGCGTAATCTAAGACACTATTCATCTCATACATAATTAAATCATTTTTTTCTGTAATGAACATTAACATAAATATAACAATAATAATGAATTTGTTATGTATACTTAAAAAAAAATTATATATTATGTAAATTATTATTATTATGCATGCTTATTATTAATTTATTTATATTTTCAGTTAAAATTCTAATATTTTAAATAACATTTTATGATAAAACATTTTATTGAATACATACACACACACACACACACACACACACACACAAACATATATGTTATCAGTTTTTTTTCAGTTTTAATTTAATTATGTAAATTCTATATATTTACATAAACTTAAATATGTGTGTATATGCATATATATATATATATATATCAAAATCTTGTTTTTATACATTTGTCAGTAATTAGTGAAATATTTATATTAACATTTATTATTATTATTATTATTATTATTATTATACATTTTTTTTGTAATTCTTATTTATTATTAACATAATATTAACATTTATCTAGACTTGTCCACCATCTTGGATTACATTCTATACTAGTCAAAGAGATGTTTCCTTACAACAGTTCCCTAAGTAGGCAGCTTACTAGGTTTTGGAATCAAGTCTAAATGTAAAGGCAAAAAAATCAAAGGTTGTGTATGAAATATCTACAGTGCACTAGACTGGTGGCAACACAGCACTAGTGTTTTGCTGAGAGGCTGTTAGATTGAACTGGTTTTGGTTCCATGAGAGGCTTCAGCAGTGTTGCAGACAGGTATGACGATGTTGATTTGGTAAGAGACACATTAAGCAAAGCAGCAGCGATTGCAGCGGTTGATTCATGGCTTGAAAAGCTACAGTCAGTCTGAGCATGGAGGAATGCCGTGCTTTTGATTGGTTAATTAATGCAAAGTTAGTTCCTCGGTAAGCGTAAATGCATTTTTCATCACAACAGGCCCCAATGACATTAAGTGGGGGGGAAGCTATGTGCAGATTACATGCAAGGTCAGATACACTGGGCATCTTTGTGAAATAGGGTTGAACTGCTTTTTTTGCACATGACTGTTTAAAAGTTTGACATCTGATATGTTGCATAAGTTACTTTAAAAGTACAGACAATCACAATTTCTTAAAAAAAATAAAATTAAAAGTTTGAGAAAAAGTTAAACAAGGACTCAACAGCTACATTTTTCCTCAGTAATAAACTTAAGAAAAGTGCTTGGTGATTAAAATAAAAATATGAATATAATAAAGTATTTATTTAAATAGCATTCATATATTAAAATACAATAACTATAAAATAATATAATTAAATCATAGTAAGTTTTGCATAATTTTTAATACAATTTGTTTGAGGAAAAAATACTGAGTGCAATTTCAAAGTTATATGAACTTGAAACTGATATAAAAATATTACTTAATGTTAAAACTTGTGTTGTACTTTAATAATCTACTTTTAAAACCTCTAATTTTTTCACACAGTTTTGACTTGCACTCATGTAAAATGAACACTTGAGGGAGGCAAACAAAAAAAAATTTCAGAGACTGTCTGCACCAAGATTGCTATTGTCCCAGTGCTGTACAACCAATTCAGATGGCTTTTAAACAGTCAAGCACAAAAAAGCGCCTCATCCGACAGATCTTTTCCCCTTTGCCAAGTGTAAACAGGACTGAGGAGAGGTGCAGTGTTGAGCCCACCACTGCAAGTGACAAGAAGCCAGTGTCTCGTTCCCTGAGCTGATAATGGACGGGCAGGCGTCTAGCTGCTGAGGCCCGGCCTACCCCAAAGCAGATCACACACACATGAAACGGCTGGCAACACCAACAGTACTTGGACTGATTTTGGACCGCACAGCTAATCACGAGGTCTACTGACTGCATGTACGGCGCTAGGATGATTCGAGGAAGAGGAATCGGGGAGAATAGGTGATCGGAAAACAAACAAACGAAAATCTAATTACTATTTAAAAGGAATACTCCAGGTTCAATACAAGTTAAGCTCAATCGATAGCAATTGTTGCATGAAAT